GGGGGCGGCGGCTCCGATGCGAGGGGCTGCCCGGGGCCAGGGCCCACGCCCGCAGGAGCAGGGAGGAAGGGGCTGCTTGGGATGCGCAGGACAGCGGCGTCCGTGCGGCAAAGGTGCCGTTCGAGGCAGACACGAGGAATTTTTTAGGGAAAACAAACTTTGTTCCTGGTACCTTGATAAAAGCTTCTGTTGGAGCCCCTTGTTCTGCACTGGATTGATTAGAGAGAAAATTAGGATCGATTAGAAAAACTGACCTCCCCAGTGGCCAGACGTGCCAAGTAAGGTCTTCCCAGCTCTCCTGGGGCTGTGCTGCAAGCTGTCCCGGTTGGGGGGCAGAAAGGCTCCCCTCAGGATGAGCAGGGAATGGGGAAGGGCAGAAAAGCCCCCCCTCCCCATGCCTCTGGGCTGCCCAGCCTGCCCTCGGCAGCCACCAGCCTGGCCGCGGCGGGGTGGCACGGTCCTGGCACGCGGAAGGGTGGTCCCTGGATCACCCCGGTGAGCGCCGGGGGCCAGAGCACAGTGGGGTGCAGGGGCTGCAGCGACCGACCCGCCCGTTCACACCAGTGGCCTCGCAGCAGGCACTGGGAAAGCTGCGTGGGGAAATCAGCCGTTACCAGCTCGTCCCGCTTCTCCGTCAGATCGGGGCGTTTGCTGAGCCCCGACCACCCTGCAGAGACTCCCGCGGAGAGGAACAAGTCCCTGGAAAGTAAACGTAAGTATCTGTGAAATTCTGTATTTATTACTTAGCTCATTAATCTTTGCTGAAGAAAAAAAGTCCTCCTGATGTTTTATTCATGATGATTTGCTCCTTGAGTCCAAGTCCCTTCGGCTTCTGCTGGAAGAGCGAGAGGACCCGAAGAGCACCGGGAGGGACCCAGAGGGCACCGGGAGGGACGGTGCTCGCACGAGCTCACACCCCTGCGCGCAGCTCCCTCTGCTGCAACCTTGCTGCCTGGCATTTGACATTTTTTTTAAAATTAATTCCCCGAGTTAATGCACTGGCCCCAGGGCCGACCTTTAGGGGATAACAAATCATCCGCGTGTGAGGAAGGGGGACACAGCCCACCCCAGCAGCAGGAAGCAAGGCAGGAAGGTCCAGCAGGACACAACCACCTGGGCGGCTGCACCACGAACCCGCGGCACAGGCGCCTCCTCCTCGGGGCTCACGATAAGAGGCAGGACTACGGAGACCTTCACGGCGCCGTGGAGCAAACCCCTCCTGCCCAGGGCAGACCGCCCGGCACTTCACAGCTTTCGGACCTCCCGCATTCCTTGCCAACATTTTTTTGCACAAGGGGAGGTCTGCGACGCCTCCAGCACGGCAACCCGGCGGTGCGCGTGGTGCTGCCGTCCTCCCCACGCCGGTCTGCGTGACAGCACATGCGAAACGGCCGGCGCCCGCGGCACCCCTGTACAGCAAGGTTCC